GAGTCGTACAATCCCGTAACATCAGAATAGGAGTAGAGGAAACGTCAATGATATGCCAAAATATCATAATGATAGTAGTTGACTTCATCATTCAAATCTCAGGGGACAGGAAGAACTTCCTGAACACATGCTGGGTTCAGTGTGAAATCAAGATAAAACAGAAGCAGATTCTGAAAATATTACAACATGGCTTTGAATTCTCTCTTTTACTTTCCATTTGGAACGGAGTTAGGAAGGCTATATGTAGCCAGAGGAGACTGATGCGAATTTCTTGTTCTGAGACAACGCAGTTGAAACTTACTTTCAGCCATATGTATGTATTTCCTCTAAAAACCTTAGGCTGCTTGTGAATGACAGATGACACTGATGCAGTGTTTCAGTGACAAGTTATTAATGCTTTTTTAAAATTTAAATAAACTTTTTTTAATACCACCTGGAGAAAAATCTCAGGCCTCTCCACTTCTTTTCTTTAATAAGAATAGTGCAAGCATCTGCTCCTGAACAGATAAAGTGAACATGCAGTTCCACTGTGGTCACATCAGCTGAAGGGTTTGTGCTTCCTATTTCACAAAATGAACATGTGGGTTTCTTTTTTGAGCACTTGCATGAACTAAGCTTAAGCTCTTCCTGTACAAAGATATGGAGATAATACTTCCTGAGTAGTCCATTCCAGCTGTTGGCTATGGGCCAGAAAGTTTTGAAAATAACAGAGCATACCTACACAATATCATGAAGGCTCAAGACTAGAGGTAGTAGAATGTTATATCTAGTGGACTGATTTTGTCAGAAAGCCCTAGGTTCCACTTTTTATTATGAAACTCACTCATGTGGCCCTGGACAAATGCCCTGACCTTTTTAGACCTCAGTTTTCTCTTCTGCAAAAGATGACACAAAGGTTAACTACCACACAACGTTACTGTGAGGATTACGAGAAATACTGTAGGAAATGTGGTCAACATGGTAGCCAGCACATGGTAAGGGCTCCCTGTTAGCTACTCATTCCAATTCTTATTCAGAAGGGCCAACCAGTGTGAACTAGGAATAGAATCAGATAAATGATGCTCAGAGCTGTCTTCCCCTCATTCCTACCCCATGCCCAAGAACTCTGCAATCACCCAGCTCTGAGGCATACTCTTCCAGGTGGCACCTGCTTGCTTGTACAACCAGAAACTTGTATGACCCCCTAACATATCTCTTACTGTGCATGATGTAAGAGCTCTAGAAATATTCGCTCCCTACTCCTTATATCCAAAATGAAAATTCAAAATAGCAGATATAATTGGGGAGAGTAAATGATCTCTATTCACTTATATCCATATTAAAATGAGTTTGCATTTCTTGCACATGTGTCTTATGAAGGCTGAAGTGAACTGAGTGTCAGAGGAAAAGTTATTTGCAGATTTAAATATGTCCACAGACAACCTACTAAATAACAGGAAATAAAACAACATGCAAATTCTGAAGAGTTAACTAATAGTAAATCATGGACTTAGCTCAAGTCACAGAAGTAAGTGCTCAAGGGAGACTTTTACTCTAGAAAAACCCAGAGCAGAGGAACATTTCAAATATGGCTATTGACTGAGCCAAGGGTAGTATCTATTCTCTGAAAAGGAGGGCTAAAATTGAAGTAGAAGCTATTTCAGAGAGATGTGAGATGACTCAGTTGGCAGCAAGGGCTCTCTTTGGCACAATGCAACTGCTTATGTCCCCAGGCACAGGGAAGTAGCCTACAGGAAGCTCACTCCTGGGGAGTTCTGATCTTAAAAAAAAAAAAAAAGAAAAAAAGAAAGCTAACCTTGAACATCTGTCTTGAACTACCTTTCATTGGTAGATATATTAGCTAAGAGGTTTCATTAAACATTAAATCCATGTGTGAGCAGGCTATTACCCATGTACTTATACAACAATTAGATTTTACTATCTAGAAAACACAGATTTACCAAAGGCCAGAACCCTACCTAATATCTGAGTAAAGACAAAAAAATACCACAGCCTCTCAATCACTGGAACTCGGGAGAGAAGTTCAATGGATTATGAAGACTTTTAATCCTGCTCACACAGAATCCCTGAAAATGTTTCCAAGGTCACTGGAACTGAGGCCAAAAGAAAGCAGACATATTTATATGAAGGAGAAATTATTCCCATATCTGAACATACAGTAGGAGGCAAAGTACAAGACCTTTCTCTCTACTCTAGGGGAGTCCTCCAGCAGGGACTGAATTTATGCTCAGGGATGATGCCATTTGTGGATTGATTATTACTGCTTGCAGTGTTTTATTTGACTGTGTGGATTGCTGCAACTATGTGTGTGGGCAGGAAACAAAACAGAAAGCAACAACCTTCAGTGTGAACTGCAATATCAGACCAATTTTTCTTTTTTTGACTCTGACTATATGAATGGGCAGCGGAGCAACAGAATCCACTTCTAATTGGTGAAGAAAATTCACCTTACCTGGCATCTCTCCTGCACACAAGGAGGTATGCTACCAGGGCAGGGTATTTAACAATAATTATGATGGTAATAATAGCTCCCAGTCATGGAAAACTGGGGAATGGGGGGGGGCTGTTAAGCATTTTGCATACTTTAAGCTTAAATCTCTTCAGCTGTAAATTTAAGATAATAATGCATCTATTTTGTTTGCAACTTGAAGCAGAAGGGTCAAAAAGAACATAGTTTCAAACAGACGTGGGTTAAAGTATCAGCTCCAACCTCTGTTATTTGATCTCACTGAGCTTCAGTTTCCTCATCCCTAACATGTAGATCAAGCAAACTGTCTCATAGGCCTATAGTGAAGGAGTGAGAGAGACACTAAGTCAAATATCAGCTGGCATTGGTATGTTAGTAGGTGCCCAACAAATATTTATAACTTGATATAAATAAAATTATATAAAAGATATTGTTATACCTGTAAACTTCTATTGCCCTCCATCAACAGCCGTTCAATGTCTACAATAACCAAAGATGGAAGGATAAGTTTATCCAGGGCAAGCTTAATATGCAAGACAGTGGCTCAATAGCTTTACATGTATAAACTCCTTTAATCCTCACCACAATCCAACGAGGTAAGTGCTACTGTCCTTCCCATTTTACAGCTAGAGACACTGAGGCCCATTGAGAGATTATGTAACTTTCTCAGATTCAAACAGATGGTACTAGAGCTGGCAACCCGGCCTCATATGCTGTCCTCCTAACCATAATACAACAGTGCTTTTTGGGTCAACCTGTTTGAGATTCCATTCTTGGATGAAATCTCTTCTACAGGTAAGTACTCGGATGTTCTCATGAACTACAATATATTGACTAACTTTTCAAATTTTAAAAGAACATATTTTTATATTTTCTAAGAATTTTTAATTTAAAAACTATACTTTAAAGTATCTATAACTAGTTCATCTTGTTTTGTATGTTGGAACATCATAAATAACTGCTCTCTTTCTAGATTACCCAAATAAATCTTACATTAGTATATATCCTGAAGTTTTGGTTTAAAGAAAGACATCAAGTCCAAATTCACAAATAGATGTATACATATTTCTCTCTTTCCATATATACATATATGTGTATGTACATATATATGTGTGTGCCTATATATATGCATATATGTATTTCAGGGAAGTCTTAATGTGATACATTTTGTTAAACTAATGACTTGTACAAATATTCCAAATATTTCTTTTATTTCTAATATCACTATCTAATAAGCCAAACCACAGTGCTATATGGTATTTCAAAGTATTCTTTTTACAAATTTAATCAACTCAAGTATTAAACATCAATGATGATAATCTATTGCTCTGCTTAAAAGGAATATCTAGGGGACAGCTGAGAAATAAAGGTTAAAGATTTCTATCCTTCAAAGCAGGATACTGCAGCTACCTATAAATCATGCTCTTTGTTTATTAAGATAATTAAACCCATCAGTACACTTAACTTTCAGACTCAACAATTGTCTGGTATGAACAATTTCTACTTTTTCTAAAACAAAGGGGATGTGTTCCAAAAGGGTCCTTTACATGCTCTCTGCACAATGCATGCTATTTTAAAACATGATTTATGTGTCTAATTCCTGGAGCTGCCTTGAAAAATATACTGGGTTCTTCCTCCCCTGCTCCCTATTACCAGAAGACACTCCAATTCGAAGAGTGCACTCTGTTTCTGACTACAGGCTGCTATATCATGTCAGCATTTTCATTAAATACTGTTGGAGCTGGACCTTAAACAAATGGAATGGAGAGCCACAGCTGCAGCCACTGCAGAGAGGTAAAGTTATCCAGCTGGGAGGCTTACATAAGAGGTGCTGGACAATCCCTGTGAAACCCAGGTGTCATCATCTAAATCCTATTTCTTTGAGACTTGCCCACATCCTTAAAGTGTATGAAATCATATGCCGCACAGAACATTTTTTTTCTCATGCTATATGCCTTAGAGCACGAAACACTGAGTTGACATATAAGTTGTTTTTCTCCCTAAAGGACTAGGCTCCAATTATGGGAACGTTGGCAACTTCTGCCTAGGGGAGGAGAAAAGAGATGCGCGGGAAGGCTGCAGGCCTGAGAAGGAATGGCTCAGCTTCAGTTCCCAAAGATCCATTACAGTGCTGACCATCCAGGAGTCACATACAAAGGGTCCTCCCCAGAGCACTTATAATAGAGGTGACAAGACCCTGTAGACCTGCCCCTGCCCCGCATACACAACAGACACAAAGTCAAGGAGTTCCGAATGTGCAATTAGCAGCAGGCGAAATGCCCTCGGAGCACCTGTCCTTTCCCAGCACATTCCCAATTGGCAACCTTCACCAGAGGCTGGAGCCATCAAGTCCTGGGCTCCAGGCTCCTCTCCCACGGCGGATCCCCTTCTTGGCACCCCGCACTCCCTCCCCTAACTGAAATCCTGTTAATAAGAGGAGCCACTCCTGTCTGCTCACAACACGAAGATAATAAAAACGAACCTCTCCTTCCCACGGCTCCCTCCAACTTCAAAAACTCAAAAGTCAACTTACCGGGATGCAAGAGTCCAGGAGTGTTCTTGGGGACTGGCTTCAAGGCAACCCCTGCAAACTCTGGCTGCGCGCAGCCCCTCGGCTCCTGCAGTGGCCGGAGGCAGCTGCGGCTGCAGGACCAAGCGCTGCTGCTCTGCACCAGCCGCCTCGGCTCAGCGATGCCCGGCGCCTTGGCACTCGCCAGGGCGCACCACCGGGCGGCAGCGACGACTAAAACTGCACCCGGCCGCGCGAACCCTAGCGCTGCAGCTGCCGTCGGCCCCGGAAAGCTGCGCTCCGAGCGCCTGGTGCGTGTCTCCGCCTCGGAGGGAAGCACAGCTCAACAAGAAACCCCGCACTAGAAAAAGCCAAGGTACTGCTGTCCGCAGAGCTGCCAGCCTGCCCCCAGAGGATCAGTCACATCGCGGGCGCGCAGGCGAGCGAGTTGGCAGGCGGGGACCGCAGTCCGCACTAGCCGCCGCGCCGCGGAGAATGACAGGCGCCGAGGCGGAGCAGCGGGCTCGGGGCGCGGGGCGCGAGTGCGCATGTTCTCAGCCCGCTGCGGCACGTCACGGGGAAAGAGGGGCGGGGAAGGGCGAGCCGGGCGGGGCCCGGGTGGGGGCGCCCGGGACTCCCCGCCTGGGATGCGCCCTTCTAGCACGCCGGAAGGTGTAGGAAGTCGCCAGCCTTTGGATTTTGTAAACCTAAAGCCCTGTGGTGGAACTTGTTTGCCCCCAGAGTCTATTGTCCCTTAAAAAGCACTGTTTATTTCAGCAGTCTTTGAGGTCCCAGTCGAGCCCACAGAAGCCAATTTAACTCAGATTATTGCTAAACCGTAAAGCGCTGCGATATGGGGGACAACGACCCTCCACCTTGGTTGTACCTAACTTGGGGAGCTCTGTTACGGCCCGTTGCCTGGGCCGCACCCCCTGAATAAGCGTAGGAGAATCTCTGGGTGGGGCCCAGGTATCGGTAGGTAGGCGGTAAAACTTCCTCAGAGATACCAGGGTACAGCCGTGTTTCTCAAGCCTTTGGTGTGCCGCAGAATCCCCTAGGGAATTTGTTAGTGTGCGACAGAATCCCCTGGGCAATGTGTTAAGATGCAGATGCCGATTCAGATTCGGTAGGTCTCAGAGGATAAGGGGAAGAATCTTCATTTGTAAGAAGTTTGAGAGATGGCCACTGGGGAGTCTCCAGACCACATCCTTGCTGGAACCTGGAACAGAGCTTCTGAAGTGGTCTGCTGGACAATCACCTGAGAGACTTTTAAAAACCCAGAGCAAATTCCTAGGCCCTCTCCTCAGTGGTTCTGGTTCAGCCTCTAGGCAAACATGAGGCTCTGGAATTCCATGTACAACAAGCACTTTAGATCAAAACTGATAGGAGTTTTGTTTGGACAAAAATCTCAGAGTATTACACCAGCAACCTGGAGTTGGGAATAGGCATTTTGTAGTACTAAAGAACCAAGTTAATCTTAACTAAAGTACCTTCTAAACGAATCCGTTCTTTATTTAACTAGTTCAAATTTTCTGCTAGTATTACTTAGCATTCCTTAGCAGGAAAAAAAATGGTACAAATGACATTAAACATTATACACATAAAGTCTCTCTGTTACATGTATCATGACAGGGGGCTCAGAGTTGGTTGGAAGAGAAAGCTCAGTAAGCCAAGGGATGGGGAGTAAGGAACAGAGTGATGGATCAAGGGATATTAGTGTGTTGCAGAGAGAGGTGTGCAGGAGGAAACAAACTTCGGACTCAACCTAGAGCTTAGAAACCTGCTCTTGGGGACCTTAGGGTAGGAGAACCCCAGGACCAGGCTTGGCTTCCTGCTTCTGAGTTAGAGTGAAACTGGAATTTTGAAAAGCTAAAAGGTATGGATTTCACTAGGTTACCTTATTGAATCTCACAGTGATCTCTTAAAGCAGATTTTTAAAAGATACTTTGCACATTTAAAAAGTATACTTTGGGCATTAGTTGTGTGTTCAAGTGGAAGCACAAATATGTGTTGGATGGTTTTTTTTTTATAGTCTGAGGAAAACAATTTGAATCTTGAAAATGGATTCTGTATTTACTATTCATATCTTTTAAAGGATATGCCTAAATTTTGAGTTAGACAGGGTTTCATTTTTAGACAGGGAGAAAATACATTTTTTTGTCTTCATCCAATTTTGTAGTTCCACATAGTGGAATTGCAAAATGTTGTTTTAAGAGCATCGTAGTTCTAGGACACTGCAGTTACACAGTGCAGGCATTGTGGAGGAGCTCGAAGGACAACACTGGCATTTTCTGGTGACAAGTGTAATTATCATCCTCATTTTATCCAGGCCCAGAAACTAAGTGATCTAGACAAAACCGTTAATCCTGACAGGGGCCAGTTTCAAGGCTCTGTTTATTTCTTCGCCTGTCTTGGTCAAATTACTATTCACCAAATGAATATATTTTTTTCATTTCCAAATTGTTTTTTACCAAGATTTGCCATTGGTAAATTAGAACCTAAATATATTTCAAAGCCAGTTCTTGGACTTGTAAATGCTAGGAACTGTACTCCCAGTGTAGTCAAAGTTTTAGAGACAAGCATGTGAGATTTATATACAATCTCCTAAATCAGAGGTTGGCCTTTGCCAGGCATGATGGTATATGTTTGTAATCCCAGCAACTCAGGAGGTTAGGCAGGAGAATTGCAAGTTCGAGGCCAACCTAAGCAATTTAGGGCGGCCCTAAGCAACTTATTGAGACCCATTCTCAAAATAAAAAATAAAAATGGCTAGGGATGTGGTTCAGTGGTTAAGCAACCAGGGTTCAATCTCCAGTACCCAAACAACAACAACAAAACAGAAACAAACAACAACAACAACAACAAAAACAGAGGTTTGTCTTGAAGTGCTGTTGCCAACTATACCCTCTGCCCAAATTTATCTTTATTCCTCATATAACTATTCCATTAAATCTATTCTTCTGATCATGAAATAAAAAGTGAATGAATTCGTAAGAAAAAGAGAATTCCCAGTAAATGAAGGAGCTGCTTCACACTGACTGCAAGACTTATTTCTGTTTTTAATAAGAAAATATTTAAAATTTTTTTTAAAAAATGAAGGTAGCAGAACGATCGTGTTGGGACCTTTAGGTAAAGGACCCAAGGTTGTCTGTCATTCAGTTTTCTTAGGTGCTAGAAGCTCCAGTCAAAACATTTATTTAACATTTTACTGTCACGTATAACTAAAAGGAACAACAATAACAACAACAACAACAAACAATTTAAAAATAAATAAAAATATTTATTTAAGTAGTATTTTAATTCATTTGCATACAGACTTCAAGAAATCCAGAATTTAATTATATAAAAAGTTAATGAATATGTCCCACTATTATTGAATTTTGAGTCACCCTTATTGTCATTAAACATTTGAAATATGCAATATTGTCTTGATATTGACTGTATTGGCCTTTAGAATTTGTTTCTTATTAGCTGCTATTGTTGTCTAGCAGGAATAGCAGCTACATTTTTTTTTTCTCTTGGAGGTCTGTATTCCTTATGGGTCAGGAAAGCCTGCTCTTTGGCTGAGAATTTCCTCATGCAATGCTCCTAGAAGTGCTGGTAGTAAGGTTCTTAATTATACAGATACCAGAAACTGCTCTGAACCTCTTCTCCCTGCATTCAAGAAACTATACATAGGATAGATTTTTATTAGACTCCGCCAAGAATCACAGGTGGGTCACTGAGCTGAGAAGGTTCAGCTAAAAGTTCTCTACCTTTATAAATTATGTTTTTTCATCCATTTCACTCAAAGGGACTCTGACAGGAAAACCGTTCAACCCTGCTTACTTTGTAGATATAGAACAGATAAGAGAACTATTAAAGAGTTCAAGTAACTAGTGAGGCTGAGAGAGTTGGGAGGAAAGAATTAGATGGCACTTTATACAAAATAATCCTGTAGTATGTATTGTACTTGATTTTTGGACACAATTTATTACAAAACTTGCATTGTTTGAACATATGTATCACTGCAAACCTAACTAAATCCCTGGTGAGGATGGAGGGTGTTTAGCAGTCTGTCTCTTTCTCCTCAGATACTTCTTGAAAAACCCAATTATTTTTGCCTTAAAACAGGAAACCTACAAAATACATGTATCTCAAATGTTGCATCTAAATTAGTTCATTTAGAATGTAGAGCAGAAAATATAATGCAGAATTTGGATTTCTGGGCTAGCTCTAAAATGCTTTTTAAACCCAGAAATAAGTTAATAGAATATTAGAGTTGGGGGCTGGGGATGTGGCTCAGTGGTAGAGCCTAGCACATGTGAGGTGCTGGGTTCCATCCTCAACACCATATAGAAAATAAATAAATAAAGTTTTTTTTTTTTTTAAAAAAAAGAACATTAGAGTTGGCTATGCTTATCCACAGGATTCAACCTACTACAAATTAAAAATACTCTGGAGGGGCTAGGGGTGATTGTATTTGCACTGAATACATACGGAAATTTATCCTTGTCATTGTTCCATAAGCAGTGCAGTGCAACAACTATTTACATAGTTTTATATTGTTAGGTATTATAAATAATATAGAGCTAATTTAAAATATACAGGAAGATATGCATAGGTTTTATGCAAATGCTATGCCATTTAAAATAAAGGACTTGAGTATCTATAGATTTTCATAAATGTAACTGAAGGGAACTAACCTCCCATGAATATATAAGGACTGGTCAACTGGTAAGTATAACTCGAAGCCTAAAAGGAAATAAGTTTTGGTAAGAATTGTGGCCCAAAGTAGAAGTGAGATTGAGAATTGGAGGATGGCATTTAGGGACTGCAGAGGAAGAATGGAGGTGGCCTTTGGTGGCTAAAGAGTAGAGGCTGGTGAAGACTAAATACCACCAGCTCCTGAGATTAAGTTGGGAGATAGCTTGTAACCAAGAAGAAAAAAATCTTCTATGGTGGCAACTGAGGGCTTTACTGTACTTAAAGTGTTAAGGCTTCAACATTTGACTTATCTATAAGAAAGAGTAGTCAGGGCTGGGGATGTGGCTCAAGCGGTAGCGTGCTCGCCTGGCATGTGTGCGGCCCGGGTTCGATCCTTACCACCACATACCAACAAAGATGTTGTGTCCGCCGAGAACTAACTCACTCTCTCTCTCTCTCTCTCTCTCTCTCTCTCTCTCTTTTAAAAAAAAAGAAAGAGTAGTCAGAGATTAATAAGCAGTTTGTAAATCCTTAAAACCCATAAAAAAAGAACTATCATAGAAATGGACAATTTTAATCTCTAAGAAATACTTACCCCTCTCTCTCAGCCAAGTTTCCCATTAATAAAAGGAGAGAGCAATGAAAGACAGGCAACAGGGCATGGTGTGAACCACACAGACTTGTCGAGCTCAAATGCTCAGCATCTTAGGCCGATGTAATCATACAGTCACCATCTTTGATTATCTAATGTGAAGTGATGATAACTTCAAGTACATGGTAGGTTTTTATTATTATATGCTTGCTGTTAATGAGTAAAACCT